CCATTTATGCAACAAACTGGGTGATTAGATGAGTCAAGAGTTTATATCCCACAAGGGAAGAAAGACTTAAGATTAGGGCAGATGTTGTGGGCAACAGGTAGTCAGAAAGTTCTGCAGAGACCATGTAGAAGGTGAGGATGAGAAAGATTATTTCACCCTGAACAAGGCCAAATAACTGTACTCGTACCAGGAAGTAAGACTGCCAGTGGATGGAATGTAGGGAATATGGAAGAGTGGTGAGAGAGTCACATCCTTAGCTGGGCGTTGTAGCGGGCGCCTGTAGTCCTAGGTATTTGGGAGGCTGAGGCAAGAGAATCACTTAAGCCCAAGAGTTGGAGGTTGCTGTGAGCTATGATGCCACAACACTCTACCCAGGGTGATACAATGAGACAGAGATACAGTGAAAAAAAAAAAAAAAAAGAAAGTCACATCCTGCAACATAAAAAGCCAGGGAAGGATTTAAGGTCTTGGTCTGTAATGTGGATGCTTTAGCACAGCTTCTCAGACACTACCTCATGTAGTCCTCACAAATATCACCACTTTCCAAATGAAGGCTTTAGCAAGTGGTGAGCCCAGCCTGCATTCACCCCTGAGAAATGGGCAGATTTCAGACTTATTTATTAGTAATAATAAACTTATTATTTAATATCTTGCTATGTCACCCAGGCTGGAGTGTGGTGGTGCAATCACAGCTCACTATAGCTCCAAACTCCTGGGGTCAAGCATTCCCCCTTACTTTAGCCTTCCCAGTAGCTGGGACTATTGGTGTGACCCACCACACATTGACCTAATTTTTTATTCTTTTTTGGGGGGGCGGAGGGAGATGGAGTCTCACTTTGTTGCCTTTCATGGAGTACCATGGCATCAGCAACCTCAAACTCTTGGGCTCAAGCAATTCTCTTGCCTCAGCCTCCCAAGGAGTTGGACTACAGGCACCCGCTAAAATCCCCAGCTATTTTTAGAGACAAGGTCTCACTCTGGCTCAGGCTGGTCTCAAACCTGTGAGCTCAGGCAATCCACCTGCCTCAGCCTGCCAGAGTGCTAGGATTAGAGGTGTGAGCAAGCCACCTTGCCCAGCCAGTTTTTCTTAAGAAATTAGGAGGGTTTCTGTATGTTGTCCATGGTGGTCTTGAACTCCTGGACTCAAAAGATCCTTCTGCCTCAGCCTCCCAAAATGCTGGAATCAAAGGCCCAAGCCACTTCACCTAGCTTATTTTCCAAAATTTCTATAACTTTGCTCTAGATAGAGCAGGGCAAGACCTCAAAGCATTTCAAAACTGTTTTGGCAAGCCCTGGTAGGAATCTACACATTTTTGGAGACAGTCTCACTTGCCCTGGATAGAATGTAGTGGCCTCATCTTAACTCACTGCAACCTCAAATTCCTGGGTCAAGTTGTCCTGCCTCAACTTCCCAAGTAGCCGGGACTATAGGTGTGCATCACTAAGCCAAACTAGTTTTTTTTTTAGAGATGGGGGAATCTCACTATGTTGCCCAGGCTACTCTTGAACTCCTGGCCTCAAGTGATCCTCCTGCCTCAGTCTCCCAAAGTCCTGGGGCTACAGGCTTGAGTCATACCCTGGCCGTGACATATGTAGAAAGCAAAATAAATAGAACTTGTTTTTATTTTATTTTTATGGACACATGTTAAGGGAGATGGCTTGCATGCCACTTAGTCAATGGTGGTGGTAGACTGATAGGTCCCACCTGGTGCAATTAAAAACATCAAAGAAGGCTCAGTGCCTGTAGCTCAGCAGCTAGGGTGCCAACCACATACACCAGAACTGGCGGGTTCAAATCCAGCCTGGGCCTGCCAAACAAAGATACAACAACAACAAAAAATAGCCAGGCGTATGGCAGGCGCCTGTAGTCATAGCTACTTGGGAGGCTGAGGCAAGAGAATCATTTAAGCCCCCAAAGAGTTTCAGGTTGCTGTGAGCTGTGATGCCATAGCACTCTACCCAGGGTGACATAGTGAGACTCTGTCTCCAAAAAAAAAAAAAAATCAAAGAAGCCAGGCCTAGACAGCACCTGTGGCTCAAAGGAGTAAGGCACCGGCCCCATATGCCAGAGGTGGCGGGTTCCAATCCAGCCCTGACCAAAAAACGCAAAATAAATAAATAAAAATGAAAAAAAAAACAAAAAACCCAAAGAAGCCAGGCCTGTAATCCTAGCACTCTGGGAGGCCAAGGTGGGTGAAATGCTGGAGCTCAAGACCAGCTTGAGCCAGAGTGAGACCCCAGTCTCTACTAAAAACAGAAAAATTAGCTGGGTGTGGTGGCGGGCACCTATAGTCCCAGCTACTCTGGAGGCTGAGGCAAGAGGATTGTTTGAACTCAAGAGTTTGAGGATGCTGTGAACTATAATGCCATGGCACTCTATCCTGGGCAACAGAGACTTTCTTAAAAAGCCAACAGACAAAAACAAAACATCAAAGAGTAGGGGTCTAAAGAATGTGGAATATAGGGGCCTAAAGATTCTGGAAAGCCATTTTGGTGAGGAGCAGACAGGCAATGATGAGGGTGATGCTGGGAAGAACACCCTGTGCAGTGGTGTAAAGGTGGGAAACTCTAAGTTATAAGTGTAAAAAGCCTTATGAATTCCCCTTGAACTCCTACTTTTGGGATCCTTCTTGGAGAAGATGTTGCTGTGTAAGAAAAAATACAAAAAGTACATTCTCAATAAGCAACCTAGGCCTTCCTCACAGTCAGTAATTAGGGGATAGGAAGAACCAGGTGAGGTGAGTACAGAACAGTTAGGGGTAAGAGGAGATTAATTTTGTAGGTTCTTTAATACACATATAATACACATAGAGAATAATGTAGTAATAATGTAGTAATAATACACATAGAGAATTTCAAACAGTACCTGGCACACAGTGAGCACCAATAAAAAGCAATAGTTAAGGCTGGGCGAGGTAGCTCATGCCTGTAATCCTAGCACTCTGGGAGGCCAAGGTGGGTGGATTGCTTGAGCTCAGGAGTTTGAGACCAGCCTGAGCAAAAGGGAGACCCTGTCTCTACTAAAAATAGGAAAACTTGAGGCAAGAGGATCACTTGAGCCCAAATTGGAAGGTGCTGTGAGCTATGATGCTACAGCACTCTACCCAGGGTGACAGCTTGAGATTCTGTCTCATGAATAAATTAATTAATTTAATTAAATTTTTAAAAAAGCAGTAGTTATCTTCTTACACCCTGGCTCCAGCTGGATCTGCAGTGTTTATGCTCCTAGCCCTGTGATACCTGACATACACCTCAAGGAAATCCAAATGAGAGCATGCCCTGTTTCCTGGGTCTTCAATATAACCCGTCCTACAAGTAATGACTTCCAGTCAGGAAATTCAAAGGAAACTTTGAGTTTGACTTATACTGCACAACAGGCACTCACATTCCCAAACAAAGCCTTCAGCCAAAGAAGCTTTAAGCCTTCAACCAAATCCTTTGGTATGTCCTCAAAAAAATGAGACCTGTGCCAAGCTTGTTCTGCTAACAAGCTTGAACTTACAGAATTCTCAAAGTGTCTCGTATCCTAGCAGCCAAACTCGTTATGCATAATTCAGCTTCCGAACATCATTCTCTTCTCTCCCAAATGCAGGAGGTAAGACCTTTCAACTTCCCTTTTCCAGACAGAAAGAGAAGTACACGAAAGACACATGTGAGGACTGGGGCTCCTTTACTTACATGGTGGGAAGGAGAAAAATAAAACACAACCGTCACGAACAGGATTCGAACCTGTGCGGGGAAACCCCATTGGATTTCGAGTCCAACGCCTTAACCACTCGGCCACCGTGACTTCCAAAACCGGGCTCTGCCGCGCGCTTACAGAAGGGGTCCGTATTGCAACCGGAGAAGTCGCGTAGCAGCGACCAAGGCACCAGTCTAGACACACACACCCTGGCATTCCCCCCTCCACGCTCTTACCTCCCCTCTGCGCCATTCGAAGGAAAAGGGTTAGGTGGTCTGAATAACCCCAGAAGAGATGGTGAGGGTCTCCAGCTCAGGGAAGAGTTGGGGGTCTCCAGGAGCGCAAACCTATTTAGGAGGCGATGGCGAGACCTGCGGAGGAAGCAGTCGAGGGAAGGGAGTGGGGCCCCAGGACGGCGGCTGGGGGACTTCTCGGGTTGAGAAGTAGGGGTGGGGGGGAGGGCGGGACAAGACGTAGGGGGTGAGGGAGACACGGGAAGAGTTTAAATGAGAAGCTCCCGGGAACGGATGAAAGGAAAGAACTTCTTGGGGAAAGGGCTTGGGGTTCCTTGGGATTAGGGGCTCCATGGGGTTAGAAATGTGCAAGCCGAGAACCACCACCTCCAGCTATGTGGGCTGGGGCAGCGTTCCCTTGGGATGGGATGGAGTGTATACCACTCTCGGGCTAAGAGGCAAAAAGAGGGAAAGGGCTTCGCGTCCGGCGAAGAGGCTTTCCGGAGAATGGCGCCCCCTCCAGGAAGGAGTCACCTCTCCCGAGGCTCCCGCCGCCGCCGCCAGGAAGGCCGCCAGAGTCGGCCCTGCGCCAGGCTGTGCACCGTCGCGCCAGGCCTGCCGGCAGGGGGCGCTGCGCCAACCGGGGCCGGCCCAGGCGGCTAGAGGCGGCGGCCGCGGCGGCGGGCGGCGGCGGGAGGCGGGCGGAGGAGGAGGCGGAGGAGGCGGGAGCTGAGCTGAGCGGGGCGGGCGGCGGCGGGGCCCGAGCCCGAGAAGATGGCGGTGCGGAAGAAGGACGGCGGCCCCAATGTGAAGTACTACGAGGCCGCGGATACCGTGACCCAGTTCGACAACGTGCGGCTCTGGCTCGGCAAGAACTACAAGAAGGTACGCGGACAGGGCCGCGCGGGGACCGGAGGCGGGACAAAGGGACGACGGCCCAGCTGCCCCCAGGCTGCTGCCCACCCTCCAGCCGCCCCCGGCCCCTCCCCCGCGGCCGCGCGAACTGCCCCCTGCGCGCCGCGCCCCTCCCCCCGCGCCTGCCCCGCACCCCGGCCTCGGCCTCTAGCCCCCGCCCCCACTGCTGCGCCCTCTGCCCCTTGTTTTTCTCCACTGCCCGGCGGGCGCGGGTGTCAGCAGCCCACCATCCTTGAGCCATCGCCTTCCCAGCTTTTCTGGGAGGGGCGGAAGGCCGGAGGTAAACTGAGTGCCGAGGGGCTCCCTCGCACCCCCGGCGTGCTCGCCTCAGCCCGCCACAGCTCCCCACAGGGCCAGGCACCGGCGAGGCTGAGGCCTCCCTGGTGCTTTGTGTACGTTGGGAGAGAGATGATGAAAGCAGGAGGATAAACAGGCACGGAGCGGGCCTGGAAAAGGTCCCCACCCTGGGGTCACCTGTCTCCAGCGCTCATCTCCCACCTTCATTCAAGGGGCCACACAGCCTCTCAAGGACCAGGCTGCAGAGTTCCTGGGCAGCGGCCCCTTCTTAAACCATTCCCAAGCTTCACAATGAAGTCACCCTGCAATCTAGCTTCACATGCCAGGGGCTTGGGGTCCCGAGGCCGGGGATCGGGGGGCTTTATGTCTCTAGCTGCTCACCGCTACCCGGTAACTGGAGGTGAGAAGGGAGTGAACAAAGGGTTTAAGAATCCTTACCTGTCTTTTCCAGCAAACCTTTTCTTGGTGTCTTTGTCTCTAGGCCTGGTTTTCCTCTAGAGATGGTCTCCCTTCTCACCACCCACAGTTAGGGGCTCTCCTTCTGGCTTTCTTTCAGCTCCCCAGTTCTTCCTGCCCAGCTTTGCAGCCTGTCACAAGTGAGTTGGGTGGTTTAGGACTCCCCACTGATGCTGGTTGTGAGCCTGGCCTTGGTCTCAGGGTCTCTATGGTGTCAGAATCCTGACCAACAGCTGCTGTTTCTGTGGCCTGTCTACCCCAGCCTGATGCTCTGGTTCCCAGGCTTCTACCTTCCACATTTTGAAGGAAGATCAGGCTAGGGGCTTAGTTTCTGGCCCTGGGGAGACTGACTGCTGTGACCTGGTTCAGCTCTTAGCTCTTTGTCATTTACCTTTACCTTCACAGATCTTTTTCCACCTCCCACTGAGAGGTACTCTCTACTCTGTGATTAGGGTGGAGGAAACAGGGGTCAAAAGGTAAAGAGAAAGCCTGACTCAGTTTTAAATTAAAACAGAAGGCAGGATGCTAGGTAGCATAATATAGAAATGTTTTAGACGGCCCAGGGTTGCTTGTTTCAAATACAATTTCCTCAAAAAAGATAGATACTGTCTCCCTCTTCATCAGGCTGGGTAATAGGTAGTCCTTCCCATTTAAGAAGTCCTGTGAAGACATTTTCAGAAGCAAAATGCACATCTCTCTAGTCCACTAGTCCTACCTCACTTCCTTGTGCCTTTCTTGTTAGGCTGCATCATAGGAGAAATTGTGACTTTTCACAGTTTCCCCAAGAAATACACTGTTGTTTCACTTAGAGCTCTGGAAGGATTGCTTCCATGTCCTGAGCTCCAGAAACTTTCAGAATTTTATAACCCTCAGTGCTGTTCGCTGGAGATCAGGTACCAAGATAACAGGGTCCTGCAACTCCAATTTCAGGGTGTAGCTGAGGAAGACTAGGAAGTATCCCTCACGCTAGCACCCCACACTGGCAACCTGAGCTGGTGGCTGCAGAACTTCGACTTCCTGATTAGGGGTCCAGGGCCTCCTTTCTACCATTTTTTTTTAAAAAATAGAAACTAGACATGTTGAGAAGAAAAGCACTATTTTCTCTGTCCCAGATGCTTCTAGACCCCTGAAGAAGAAATATGGGAGATAATAGACAATTTATCTGGAGTCTATTTTTCTTTCCTTTCCCTCTTTCCCTAGTACATACAAGCTGAACCACCCACCAACAAGTCCCTATCTAGCCTGGTTGTACAGTTGCTACAGTTTCAGGAAGAAGTTTTTGGCAAACACGTCAGCAACGCACCCCTTACTAAACTGCCGGTGAGTGCAGAAGCAAAGGGGTAAATTCTCGAAATTGGAGAGGGAGTTGTAAAATTTTAAAAATATTTATAAACGTTAAAACTTTTGAGATTTGGGTTATTTCCTACCATCCCTATCCCTGATCAGAGCATTAAGGGGTTGACAGTAGTCTCCAATTTACCATTCCTTTTGTCTTAGTAATACTTTGTGCAGCAAGTTGTCTCCAAGCATGTGGGCTCTGTCCCTAAGTCTCTCATGGCATGGTTAAAAAGCTATGAGATGGCTTGGCGCCTGTGGCTCAAGTGGCTAAGGCGCCAGCCATATACACCTAAGGTGGTGGGTTCAAATCCAGCCCGGACCCACCAAACAGCAATGACGCTGCAACCAAAAAATAGCCGGGCGTTGTGGCGGGCGCCTGTGGTCCCAGCTACTTGGGAGGCTGAGGCAGGAGACTCCCTTGAGCCCAGGAGTTGGAGGTTGCTATGAGCTGTGAAGCCACAGCACTCTACCCAGGGGGATAGCTTGAGGCTCTGTCTCAAAAATAAATAAATAAATAAATAAATAGCAAGCTATGAGATTTAGTTTTGCACAGACTTGTATTCAAATCCTGACTCTGGCACTTGATGGATCTGTGATTCAGCCAACCTTTATGAGTCATTGGGTCCTTCTTGTCTAGATAGGATTAATAAACCTACTTTGCAGGGTTTCTGTAACAGTAAGTGAGGTAACCCAGTAAAGTATTTGCACAAGGTGATGCTTTCTGAATGTTGGTTTGTTTCTATCCCTCTTCTGGGCCACTTAATACAATAGCACAAGGGTTAAAGAATTCTGGCTTTGAGAGGAAGATCAGTTCAATGTGGGATTTTGCGAAAGGATTATTAAGTAGTAAGAGAATTTACAGTGGAACTCTGACATACTTTTTAACCTGTCTTGATTTTGCAGATCAAGTGTTTCCTAGATTTCAAAGCAGGAGGCTCCCTGTGCCACATACTTGCAGCTGCCTACAAATTTAAGAGTGATCAAGGATGGTGAGATACCTTCCATTTATGTTTTTTATGTATAGTTTAGAGGAAATCTCTCCGTTATGAAATCCCCTGGGGTCTTTCTGGGGTGGGAGAACTTGGGTAGAAATTCTTAGGAGTTTCTTATTTTGCTAAGTTGTTTGACCTGACTTCCTAGGTTAGAAAAACAGGCTGGGAGATAGAGCCAAAATCATCTCCAAAAGTGAGAGAGAGAGAGTGTATATGTGTGTGTGTGTGTGTCAGTGTGTGTTTTGAAGAGGAAAAGGAATTTGTAGGTTGGCGTCTCAAACTTCTTTTTGTCTTTTTGTACTAAGCATAGAGTGATTTATAGAGTTTAGATCCGTGAACCTCAGATCCCAGATAATTTTGGCAACAACTGTCACCAAGATTACTTTCTAATTTCCCATGTTAAGTCACATGCCCTCCCTAGATTATTACCTGAGTTATACCACTCACTAGATTATTACCTCTTCACAAGGCGGCGTTACGATTTCCAGAACCCATCACGCATGGACCGCAATGTGGAAATGTTCATGACCATTGAAAAGTCTTTGGTGCAGGTAATAGGAACTTCTCTGTCATCTTTTCTCCCTCAGTGAGAATCCAAAACACCCCTTTCCTATAGTCTCATCCCATCTGTTTCTTCTCTCCACAGAATAATTGCCTGTCACGACCTAACATTTTTCTGTGCCCAGAAATTGAGCCCAAACTGCTAGGGAAATTAAAAGACATTATCAAAAGACATCAGGTAAGTGGGCTGGTCTGGAGAGGTTTCAGAAACCCCATGACACTTTTCCTGATGTTTTTACACTGAGAAGCAGCCCTGAACTTCCTTGCTTTCTACTCCAGATGTGGCTCTGCCTACTTGGAGAGAGATTTGAGTTTCTTTTTCCTGTAGACTTCTCTCATTTCTGAGTCCTAACAAGTTTAGATTACTGTTTCTGGAGATTGTGTTGGCCTGGGGAAAAAATAGCATCTTCCACTGAGCTAGAGATTGCCTGATTTCAGATAAGTGAAATCCTCACTCTTTGGAACTTTGTAATAATAAGCAGATGTCACTGATAGGGACATAACACCCAACTTAAAATTTCCCATGTATAGATTATCTGTTCAAGGGATTATCTACGGCAGTCTTTAATTCTTTGACTTTTCTCCATTATTAGCACAATCCCAGCTGTTTCCCTCTGCTGCTCAGCTGGTATATACTTAGAGAATACAAACTAACTTTAATACCATTCCAAGAAAAATATGATTAGGAAGGCAGATCTGTGGCTAAATTTTATTTTGGTTTATTTACACCAGTGGTTCTCAACCTTCCTTATGCCTTTTATATAGTTCCTGTGGGTCACGACCCACAGATTGAGAACTGCTGATTTACACCCATGAGTAATTCAGAGGAGACCATATTTACCTGCTTCTCCTTGTGCCATCCAGGGAACAGTCACTGAGGATAAGACCAATGCCTCCCATGTTGTGTATCCCGTCCCAGGGAACCTAGAAGAAGGTGAGACCTGGGTTTTCCTGGCCACTGCAGTGGATGGCCTAGACTAGGAGGTAGAGATTACCACCTGGGCTCTACTCCTTTCATCCTTGAATCTCCCTATCATCTTAAGTTCCTATTACCAAGCCCCTGTTGCAACAGGAGAGTGCTAAGTTAAGGCTGTGTAGGCTTGGCGCCTGTGGCTCAAGTGGCTAAGGCACTAGCCACATACACCTAAGGTGGCGGGTTCGAATCCAGCCTGGGCCCGCCAAACAACAATGATGGTTGCAACCAAAAAATAGCCGGGCCTTGTGGTGGGCGCCTATAGTCCCAGCTACTTGGAGGCGGAGGCAGGAGACTCACTTGAGCCTAGGAGTTGGAGGTTGCTGTGAGCTGTGATGCCATGGCACTCTACCCAGGGGGACAGCCTGAGGTTCTGTCTCAAAAAAAAAAAAAAAATTAAGGCTGTGTAAAGAGTTATTTATTGTGCTCCCTCATTAGCTATCTCTCTGCCTTCTTTCTCTGTCTCTATCCCCAGAGGAATGGGTACGACCAGTCATGAAGAGAGACAAGCAGGTTCTTCTGCACTGGGGCTACTATCCTGACAGGTGAGGATATGTTCCTGAGGTAGGTTCAAGTTCAGGAGCCAGACACAGAAGGCCTAGAATGTCAGGAATGCCTAGCAGGCACTCTTCTGGGGTTTTTAGGTTAATTAGTTTTCCGACATCTGTTAAGTGAATCCTCTATCTTGTTTTTTTTTTTTTTTTTTTTTTTTTTTGAGACAGAGCCTCAAGCTGTCCCCCTGGGTAGAGTGCCCTGGCATTACAGCTCACAGCAACCTCCAACTCCTGGGCTCCAGTGAGTCTCCTGCCTCCGCCTCCCAAGTAGCTGGGACCACAGGCGCCCGCCACAACGCCCGGCTATTTCTTGGTTGCAGCCGTCATTGTTGTTTGGCGGGTCCGGGCTGGGGATTCGAACCCGCCACCTTAGGTGTACGTGGCTGGCACCTTAGCCGGTTGAGCTACAGGCGCCGAGCCTGAATCCTCTATCTTGGAGGAGATTTGGACTTACTGGACAAGGCTTACACTAAAAGGAGTGGGGCTTTCTGTGTGAAATAGTTACCTCAGTATAATTTTTGATAAATAAATATTAGAAACAATTTAAATGTCTAACAGTAGAAAAGTGTTTCAGTAAATTTGTATATCTAATTAGTGGGATCTTTTGCAGTTTTTTTTTTTGGTAGAGACAGAGTGTCACTCCATTGCTCTTAGTAGAGTGCTGTGGTGTCACAGCTCACAGCACTGTTCAACTCCTGGGCTTAGGTGATTCTCCCACCTCAGCCTCCCAAGTAGCTGGGACTACAGGCACCTCTCACAACACCTGGCTGTTTTTCTGTTGCAGTTTGGCCAAGGCTGGGCTTGAACATGCCACCCTTGGTATATGGGGCCAGCACCCTACCCACTGAGCCACAGGCACTGCCCAGATTTCCAAACTTTTTTTTTTTGCAGTTTTTGGTCAGGGCCAGGTTGTACCCCACCACCTCTCGTATATGGGGCTGGCGCCTTACTCCTTGAGCCACAGGCTCTGCCCTCTTATGCAGCTTTTGAAGTGATATGAAATAACAGTAATTTATAGATGAGTTTGTTTGTTTGGGTTTTTTTTTTTTTTGGTCAGGGCTGGGTTTGAACCCTCCACCTCTGGCATATAGGGCTGGTGCCCTACTCCTTTGAGCCATAGGCAACACCCTATATGTGAGTATTAACTGCAAAAAGTAATATATATAATAACATCTAGTGCTAGGCGTGGTGGTCACAACTATAATCTTTGCATTTTGGAAGGCCAAAGTGAGAGGATCATTTGAGTCCAGGAGTTTAATACCAGCCTACCAGCCTGAGTAACATAGCGAGCCCCCCACCCCACCCCGGCAGATCTATACAAAAAATTTAAACATGGCTCTGCACTCGTAGCTCAGTGAGTAGGGCTTCAGCCACATACACTGAGGCTGGTAGGTTCAAGCCCAGCCCAGCCCTCTTAAACAACAATGATAGCTGCAACTAAAAAATAGCTGGGCATTGTGGTGGGCACCTGTAGTCCAAGCTACTCAGGAGGCTGAGGCAAGAGAATCACTTAAGCCCAAGAATTTGAGGTTGCTGTGAGCTGTGATGCCACAGCATTTTACCCAGGATGACATAGTGAGACTCTGTCACACACACACAAAAAAATTTTTTTTAAACATTAGCTAGGCAGGCTATGCACAGGGCTCACACCTGTAATTCTAGCACTCTGAGAGACCGAGGCAGGAGGATCACGTGAGCAAGAGTAAGACCCCATCTTTACTAAAAATAGAAAAATTAATAGCTGAGCATTGTGTCAGGTGCCTGTAATCCCAGCTACTCCAGAGGCTGAGGCAGAAGAATCACTTAAACCTAAGAGTTTGAGGTTGCTCTGAGCTGTGATGCTACAGCACTCTACCAAGGGCAACAAAGTGAGACTCTGTCTCAAAAAAATTAAATAAATAAAAATAGAAAAGTTAGCCAGGTACTAGAATGGACCCCTGTAGTCCCAACTACTTGGGAGGCTGAGCCAGGAGGATTGCTTGAACCCAGGAGATTGAGGTTGCTGTGACATAAAATGCCATCAAGTCACCTTAGCCTGGGACAAAAGAGTGAGACTCTGTCTCAAAAAAATAACAAAATAGGTTGGGTGCGGTGGCTTACTCCTGTAGTCCTAGCATTATGGAAGGCTGAGGAAGGCAGATTCCTTGAGCTCAGGAGTTCAAGACCAGTCTGAGCAAAAGAATGAGAGCAGTCTCTAAAAATAGTGCCTATGGTCCTAGTTATTCAGGAGGCTAAGGCAAGAGGATTGGTTGGGTCCAGGAGTTTGAGGTTGCTGTGAGCTATGGTGCCATGGCACTCTTCCAAGGGTGACAAAGTGAGACTCTGCCTCAGAAAAAAATGTAAAATAAACATAAAATTGGGGCTCCGCACCTGTAGCTCAGCAGCTAAGGCACTAGTCACATACACCAGAGCTGGCAGGTTCAAATCCAAAAATAGCCAGGCATTGTGGTGGGCACCTGTAGTCCCAGCTACTTGGGAGGCTGAGGCAAGAGAATTACTTAAGCCCAGGAATTGGAGGTTGCCATGAGCTGTGATGCCAAGGCACTCTACCAGGGTGACAGCTTGAGACTCTGTCTCCAAATAAATAAATTAATTAATTAAATAAAATAAAACCAGCTCAGTGCCTGTAGCTCAGCAGCTAGGGTACCAGCCACGTATACTGAAGCTGGCGAGTTCCACTCCAGCCTGGGCCTGCCAAACAACAGTGACAGCTACAACCGAAAAATAGCTGGGTGTTGTGGCAGGCACCTATAGTCCTGGCTACGTGGGAGGCTGAGGCAAGGGAATAGCTAGAGTCCAAGAGTCTGAGGTTGCTATGAGCTGTGACACCATGGCACTCTGCTGAGGGCGATATAATGAAACTCTGTCTCAAAAAATAAATAAAAAATAAAAATAAGGCCAGGCACGGTGGCTCACGCCTGGAGGCTGAGGCAAACAGATCACTTGAGCTCAGGAGTTTGAAACCAGCTTAAGCAAGAGTAAGACCCTCATCTCTGCTAAAAATGACAAAAACAGGGCACCTGTGGCTCAAGTGGCTAAGGAGCCAGCCACATACACCCAAGGTGGCGAGTTCGAATCCAGCCCGGGCCCACCAAACAACAATGATGGATGCAACCAAAAAAGGAAAAATAGCCGGGTGTTGTGGCGGGCGCCTGTGGTCCCAGCTACTTGGGAGGCAGAGGCA